GTGGGGTCCTACTCTACTACCGCAGCGATCTACAATGTACAATAGTTGAGGACCTGGAAACACACGTTACCGACTCACTCTGGTGCCGTCTCCGACTGAGACACAACGACACGTGTCTAGTAGCTGTCGTTTACCGCCCCCCAACGTCCACTCCGGAAATGGATTCCTGCTTGATCCGTGGCCTAAACAGAGTAACACGCACTAGGTACAGCCACACTCTCATCTCCGGGGACTTCAATCTACACAATCTGGAGGTTTCGGCATCGCCCAGTGAGCAGTTCAAAGCAGACTTGCAGGAACTGATCGCTAATATTCCTTTGTACAATCATGTCACCACGCCCACTAGATTCAGGACAGCAAACAAACCGTCCATATTGGACCTTGTGCTCACAAATGAAGAGCTCATGGTTGACAAGTTATTGATGGATAGTCCATTAGGTCTCAGTGACCACGTAGTAATAACTTTTGACTATGTGTGTTATGCAGAGTATCCATCTGAACACTCGGAACTAACTCATACAATCACACGCTACCACGTATTGAAAGAACTCGCCGACGCAGCTTCCTGGGAATTCTCAAACAAAAGTCCCCTTGACAACGTTTGGGCAGAGTTCGTTAATAAAATCAGCGACGTCGTCAACGGAGCATCAGAGACCAAACCCCTTCGTCCCGCGAAAATGCCTTCAATTATAAGGAGTAGGACTCGCAAATGCCTGGCGATAAGCGATGCAGCATGGCATGCTTACAAGATTAACCCAGACTCAGAGACTTGGGGAAATTTCCTGACCCATCGCAACCATTGCACCGCACTTGTCCGTGAGGACAAAATAACGTATCAACAGTGTCTAGCCAAAAAGTTCATGGCAAACAACAAACTGCTGTATAAGCATGTCAATAAGCTTCGTAAAGTGAAGCATGGAATACCCCCACTTTTCACGACAGGCGGTAGAGTACAAAGCGCCGAAGAAGCAGCTAATGCACTGCGGCTGCAATACGCACCAATTTTTGAACTCGCAACATCTACCTGTCCCATAATATCAAGCACATTACCGACACCTCTGTTTACAAATGTTATTTTCAACCCATCAATTGTGCTGAGGAAGTTACTCTCACTGCGTGAGCATAGTTCTCCAGGAGCAGACAACATCCGCCCGAAGGCACTGAAGGCTGTGGCCACCAAGCTAGCTGAACCACTGTCACAGTTCTTTCAAAGGTGCTTTGATGAACAACGAGTCCCCACTATGTGGAAGTGTGGCATTATAACCCCTATTTTTAAAGGCGGTAGCCGTTCAGATCCTGCAAACTATCGTCCAGTGACTCTCCTCCCTGTGCTCGCGAAGGTGATGGAAGCAATCGTCGCAGAGGCTTTAATGGACTAGCTAGAAAAATGCAACATCTTGGTACCGGAACAGCATGGCTTCCGTCAACACCGGTCATGCACCACCAACCTACTTATTGCTCGAGGTAGTTGGACGGAAGTGGCCGATGATGGGGTCGGAGGCGACGTCATCTATCTGGACTTCTCCAAAGCTTTCGACCGCCTCGATCACCGCATCCTACTTCAACGGTTTCAGAGTTACGGAATCGGAGATCCTGTACTTGGTTGGATTGGCAACTTCCTTTACCAACGAAAGCTTCAAGTACGTGTTAGGGGATCACTTTCTAACCCAATTGAGGTGGAATGTGGTGTCCCGCAAGGCTCAGTGCTGGGACCGCGCTTATTCCTGGTGTTTATCAACGACCTGGCAAGAGTCATCTCCTCAAATTTCCTGTTTTTTGCCGATGACGTCAAGATATGGCGGGCGATTAGTAACAAGGCAGATCAGGATCTGCTCCAACATGACTTACATTGCATTTACGAATGGTCAAAGAGGAACAAGCTTCAATTGAACATGGCTAAGTGCAAAGTGATGCATCTGCGTCACCAGCCGGTGAGCGCCTACAAGATTGGAGACCACACCTTGGCGAAGGTTTCTGAGGAGCGTGACCTGGGTGTATTGGTACAGGAAGATCTCGGGTGTCCAAAACAAGCAGAGAAGGCGAGGAGGTTCGGAAATCAACACTTCGGCCTTCTTCGCAGAGCCTTCGGTCGGTTTGAACCATCAATCTTTCCCCAAATGCTTAACGCCTACGTGCGACCTCACGTGGAATATGCTATTCAGGTGTAGCAGCCGTGGCAGAAACAGGATCTCGTTGCTCTCGAGACTCCTCAACGAAGGGCAACCAAGAATGTCAGGGGCCTCTTTCATCTGCCCTATCAGCTTAGACTGAAATCTCTAAGAATGTACAGCAGTCGATATCGGCTTTTGCGGGGGGATCTCATAATGGTTTACCAGATTCTGAAGAACCCAAACCACATTTACCGTCCGCTGCTGGAATTGAACCACAACACTAAACTAAGAGGTCACCCTCTGAAACTGACAATTCATTACAGCCGGCTTGAATGCCGTAGAAATTTCTTTTCTCTTCGCTTGTGTGAGCCTTGGAATGCCCTCCCTAATTATCTTGTCTCTGCTCCCAATCTGGCGATATTTAAAAAACGTGTTGACGATGCATTGTCTCACTTACATTTCATTTTATGACTTGTTAGCCAGGGGCTACAAAACGCAATCAAACGGTGTCTTGCCAAACGCCTAACCAATGGATTTATGGATTTTTATGTTTAATACGCGAACATCTCTGCTATTCCACATAAGTCTATGGTGAGTCCACCACAACGCTTTTCACTTTATCATGCAATTGATTTTCACAATAATTTCCATCCTACGGGACTTGTTAAGCGATGCTTTTTTACCCGTAATAAACCATTGTTCCATTGTACGTGCACACTTGGGTGTCAGAGATCCGATCTCGAAGTGCTCACTGACACGGATCACATTATTTACTCATTGTGGCGACTTGTTGGCGGCTCAGAATCAGAGGACGTCTACCGAGAATTGCGTAGTTAAGCAAGCGCGGAACAAAGCAATAGTAAGTGATGCGGTGGGGCATGGACTAGCGGAGCCGGTTCCCAGCCAAGGGAGGTAGTAAAGAGAGAGCGTAGAAATTCGTGAACCCATTTGTCCGTGTGTTATGTAGGCATACTGGTTCCCGGTTGCCGATGCCGAAGAGGAGGATTGGGCGGAGGAGCTTGGGCGGTACAGACCTGATCAGCAAGGTAGGGGGCGATTAAGGTTTCTCACAAACTTTCAGTGGCTGGTAATTACTTCATGGATAACATAGATTTCGAGTAGTAACAATTCATTAAGGGCGCCCGAAAGTCCAATTATAACAGCACGTGGTCCTATAAAATCTCTTGGATCAACTAACTTGCAGTCAGATGCGAAGATCGTTAACAGCCTGGTGGATCATACGCTTTCTTAGCGTTGATTTGGAAGTCCACACAGAAGAAAGTGCCCATCTAGATTGTTCATCTGTTTCCCGTTAGGTGCTCAGTGCTGGTCACAGAACTGAGTTTAATGACTCTATAGTCCGTCACCCAGGCTTCAAAAAGGCATTGTACGAGCTATAGTGGTATGTAATGGGCAACTAGATGACCAGCCCAGAACTCCTACGCTCTAAGACTCTAACGCTGATTGTGCGTGACTGCTTTTTAATCTCACCTGAGAAGCAAAAGTCACTTATTTGCAGTTGTCTCCACAAGGATAACATTCCCCCAGTCCGCAACATCGCGACAAGCCCTATAGCCTATCCTTCCATGTGGTTACAACGGGTGATATTAAACATGTTTTCTGTTCAGAACAACACCTGAACTGTGTTCACACCGCAGGAGTAAATCTGCTTATGACACAGAATGGTAGATATCCTGTACGTCATGTGAGTTACAAGATCATAATTCCTAGGAAGAAACCACAAATGAAGAAAACCTCTTCCACATTGCTTACTCCGAGTTTTGGAACAAATTGCCCCAAAACGTCAGGAAGTGTGGTAAATTACATGAGGGCTTTTCCAGATATGTGAAGGATTGCTTTGGTGAGAGGTGTCTGCGATGAATTACCTCGAAATTGCACCCAAAGCTACACTACTCATCAGTATGAGTTTAAATTGCCTGTCATGAAACATCTCACTGTGCAAAGTAGTATATCAATGCTAGAGATATCTCAGCCTTGGGAAATACAAACCGAAAATTGGCGTCGATATCGCATAGGAGGAATCTAGCTATGTATCGTATATTGTTACTGTGTGTGAAAGCAAGTTACTTCCATATGGATATGATGAAACAATGATATCTACAAGTTTTTTCTTGCGGAATGTTGCTACAGACTTCCATATTGGAATATACTTATATGTATCGACGAGACAAGGGCCAAGGTGGAACAACTATAACTGGAAAGGGACGAAAGCAGACATATAGATGCCTTTTTCTTAGGATGAAGAACTGCTCTCACAGAAATTCTCCCAAACCTAGTTAACTAAGTCCATCGCTCAACACAATAAACTTGTGATACTGATATGAGATTACTAGTTATCCCAACAATCCTCTAGCATACACAAGTACCCGCATACTTGTCAACTCCACATGTTGAAGTGACTTCCCTCCAGTTCGATACTGGACGACATCAGCTACAGAACGCATTTGTGCACCTATTGATCTGACCCCATGCGGGAACAGTCTAGCACAGTGAAGAAATACAAGTTATCAATTTTTTTATTTATATGATAGACACTGGCGAACGCACTTGTGTGCTCTCTTGAGCATCCCTATATTGAAATTCGGCAACAAATACGGGTACCAAGCAGCGGTCAATTACCATCAACCGGTTAGATGCACTGCTACAAGCCTAGAAGCCCAGTTCCTGGGATGATAAAATGCATGCCCGAGTACCTGCTACAATTTGCTTCCATAAAATACGAGGTACACAATTCTGACACTAATGCAAATTACAAATGAAGATGACTCATTACTTGTCCCCACCAACTGAACTAGGAACGTGCAATACCCTATAGAGGGTACAGTTCGAAACAGAAGCTCAGATGCGAGTAGAGAATGGTGTACTCACCTGTCGATAAGCAACGTTTAGCATCTGGGTCAAACATGCTGTTGCTCTGTACTCAGTTGCTGTACCTTTCGAACGTTCAGACCGAATGGTAGCCGAAGGCTGTGGTGGCTGGGACCTGGGATTATCCTGTATAGCATTTCTTTCTATAGGACATCCACTCAGATGCTCAGGAATGGGGCTGGCCTCCGGAATTTCAGCGCCATCACTAGCATGTTTCTGTAAGGCAAGTTTACGCGACCTCTTGGTCAGTTTTTTTGGTAACGTTGCTGTTCCGGACAATAGGTTTTTCGCTTCGTCTTGTGTTTGATCCTCATCGGATTGTGGTGGACTGGTCAGACGACGCCGCTGGAGTATGTTTCCGTCATGGAGAAAGCTGTCTGTCGGATGATTGTTACTTTGGCCGTGGTTGTTGTTGTTGTCTGCCTCATGTGTATGCTGTCTCACCGAATGGTCTGCTGTCAGTGGATGTTGTTGCGTCCCATTCTGTTTTGACTGGGATTGATTCACTTCATCGTGTGGATCCTGATCCCCATTGTAATTACATATGTCTGGCATCAGAATTTCGGTTTGAAATGATTCCACACCATTGCGAAACATTGTGAGCAATTCTTTCATCGGGATAGGAACTTCCACAGTGGTCAGTATCTGTTATAAGCAAGTACGTAAACGATAGAAAAGTGGAAGGTGTTTAGAATTTTGCCATGGTTCATTTATACCAACAAGTGGCGCTTGAACTGTTCACTGAGATTGGCAATTTTGTTGCAAATGTTTCGTCATTAATCAAAGGGACATCATCAGTGCGTAATTGTGTGGCGTACATTAGCGTAGCGTAGCGTAGCACTCTCACCAAGGCTCCTCTACGCTACTCTACTCTACTGCACGCTATGCAACTACGCAATGATGATGTCTCTTCGATTGATGACGAAACTTTTACAACAAAATTGTCATGCTCAGCAAACAGTTCCAACGCAATCTGAACATCCTGAGTCTTGGATTCTTTAGCCATACCAACAAGTATGGTGTACAGTCCACGAACTGTTTAATGGACGTCCGATATTTACGACCTTTTGTCATCTTACGAGAGAATTCATGTAGACTATGCTTGTGTAACCTTTCGATTAGAGAGGCTGCGTGTTTTGTGTCGCACTCGTTTTGCTCCATTCACTATCATCATCATCGCCACCAACAGTTTAACACACTAGTACAAAGTATTGGAAAGAGGATTGCGCCTTGCATGAAACACACGTCACTTGACAAGGGCGTGTTTGCGCGTCGATTATTTAGCTGTCGATGGAAAACACCGAAGACGGTTAAGTATAGTTAACTTGTGCTTATAGACATTAGTGTTGCGATGCCTAGTGACGTTGTTAGGTGTGATAAGCAGCATGGCGCGTGGAGAGAAATGAGTCGGTGTGGCACATCCTCGTAAGGTGCATCTTTGCGGCCTGGAAATGAATGAGCGAATGACCCCGAAAGTATGCATCACAAAGCTAGTTAGTGACTTCGTTGGTGACGGAGCGAGTTTGGCTTCCACAAACTTGTAACTGCGTGCAGTTTCCTAGCGGTACTATCGCCTAACCACACAGCGCCGTGTTGTAATTCACGCGAGGTTCTTTTCCGTGGTCACTGAGCAATCCACCGCTATAGAAGCGTGATATCATCATCATATTTCAGATGTCCGAAAAAGTGTCCTTTTCAAACACTTAGTTACACTGACCATACACTACCTTCGGAAATGGCTACTAGTACATAATTCCGGGACAACGTAAAGAACTGAGAAAGTAGTCTTAATATGGCCAGACAAAAGTGAGAGCCACCGAGTCACTGTGGCCTCCAAGAATCTAAACCAACTAGTTGGCTGTGATACGATGCAGATCATCCTGAATGCTTCGAACAATAATCTCCTTCGGACCGTAGACTTATCATTGGTTAAATCATATTCAGTTCACTTTTGAATCGTAATGTAGATCTTTATGGTGTGGAAACTAGAACCAGGACTCTTTTTTCGTGTCTAAAAAGTCAATTGGCTTTAGATTTGACAAAGCTATAATCTACCTACCTGCTTCGTATCCGACTTCCAATTCACCGGAAAGGGGAACCGCATTCAGAAAGGGTGTACCATATTGTCTCGCAGGTTGACAGCCGTGAGGTGTCCCAGTCAAATCTGGATGGACTCTACAGAGTGGTTCCATCATTTGGTATGCACTTCATACTGTCAAAGTGCTGTGGTTTTAATGAACAACCAGTCACCTTATGGCTTTGGGACCTTTTATGACGATGAGCTAGGGGTATTTAACCATTCCACCTATATTTATTGGCGGCATCGAGTTCCGGATTCGTCTGTCGCTACGGCCTCCATAAGACAGCCACAGGATGCCTGCGCCTACAGAGGGACCATGGGTGGCTTGCGCTGCACCACCCACAGCTACAACCACGCACCCAAATCCAGTGTCAACCCGAAAGAATAAGACCGGGTGGCATATGGATAGAAACCAGGTTTCATCAACGGAGCCGGCCTACATTCCTTTTTCATGAACAGTAGCAACATTTCTGTCTACCTAATTAGGGAATAATGCTTACCAGGCGTAGACAAGGCGGTAGCTCCGCCGTAGTCCTATCAAAACCGGATATATGGAACCACTCTTTGAGCGTACCACGACACGAGGACCGTGCACCCCGTCCCCACCAGCAGCGACTCACAATCTCCTGGAGCCTGTAATCGATGTGGAGGGTATTAGACAGGTGGTCACTTGTCAAGGTCCAGTTCAAGCGCGCCCACACGGGGGGTATCAAACAACCAAGGTAGAAGCAGAAAGTAGCGAACAAGCTTTGCTCAATGGATCAACATCAGACTAATACAACCACAAGTATGTTGCGCCAAAAGGAACACGTGCGTTATAAACGTCACTAAAGCAACATTTTCTCATCCATAAGGCTATATGATTAGTCTGACCTGTGTGTAATCCGGGAAATAGCTTGATGGCTATGATTAATCGCGTTAGTCTGTGGCCAGGATAAAGGGAGGGCGTGCACAAAAGAATTTTGTGCACGCAATTCCGGGTTATGCATCCAAAGTGCAATTGGCTCTGCTGTCGACAGCAGGCGGCAGCTGACACTTCATACCTAACACACCATAACCCTCGACTCAGATGCGCAACATAAGTGAACAGGGGGGTCCGCCCCGGGCGGCATGGGATAAGGGGAGGCATTTTTAGTACAGGTGATTCTTCACAGCAAGTGTAAATTCAGTAAAAGTACTTATATGGCTGAAGTGGCAATGTTACACCCAACTGGATCAGAACAATGACGAGGCAATTCAAGTGTATCGTAAGCAACGGTGCATACAGGAAACATATAGAAGTAAACAGCAAGCAAGCAAGTAACGTGAGTGCTGAGTCCAGTATTCGACCAGACAGGGAGGGACTTGGCCAACGAGCGCAATGAGAGGAAGGACGAAAAACATACACGTATTGATGGACACACGCACAGGCACGCGTACATTCGCAGTCAGTAGAGGTGACACGGAACACTGTCTGAGGGCGCACCAGGTAAGGTGAAATGTGATAATCCAACTGAAATCGAATATGTAACTATTGCAAAAGTTGATATCTGGGCAAAAGTAAGTGACATTGAAATGCTGGATTCAGCAGGAAACATTTGAAATGCTGGTGCAAAAGATACGCGCGAAGTTGAAGGATTGGAAATGCAACCACAGTTTGGCACTATCTCAGGGATATTTGTCATTAGCCTGTTTAGACTGGCCATGAAATTCGCACTATGCTTGCCCGGCTCGGATTTACTGTTGTGGTGCTACCTGGGATTAATGCAAATGCGGAGACTAGGAATTTGATAACGAATTGGATTTTTTGAACTTTGCTGATCAAAAATCGCGAACACGGATGAAATCCTCTCCTTCGAAAGAAGCCCTGTTTTTTCGATTGCAGGATGATTTCAACGGGATAGTCTAGTTTTTCCTCTGATTAAGGTTTCACAAGCTGATGGGAAGTATATCCAAAAGCATTTGAACGCAAAGCCAGTAAATCACGTGCGAAGTCATTCCTCAACTGTAAGGAGCTAGTCATCCAGTTAGCTGGAGGAAATGCAATTGACATAGTGCAGTCACTTGTAGAAAGGGAAACAAAGTCGCGGCGTGAAATTCTAGCCAGAGTACTGGATATCAACAGGTTTCTCGCAGGGCAGAAGATGACATTGCGTAGTCACCTAGAAAACATTCAGCATTACAAAAGAATGTTGGAACATAGAGGAGATTTTTGGAATTCGTAAGTAGTTTGGTCAACTATGACCGTGTTCCTCATGAACATTTGGCGATAATCCAGTTAGGACAGAGAACACATTTCTCATTTATCTGCAAAGCACCAAATGTCTATGTGAAGCTTTTAGCAAAACAGTTGGGAGAAAATTTATATATCAATTCAGGGAAAGCAAGCATTTTTGTTTAATTTTTGATAGCGCTCCAGAGGTTTTCCATAAAACTCAGATGAGTGAGGTGTTACCTTACGTGAAAATGGATGAAAATGATACATGTGTTGAAGAGTCTTTTCTTCGCTTTATTGAGACCGACAGAAAATGTGTAAAACATTTCTGGGTTGATTCTGACGGAACTGGAGAAGAAAGGAATTCAGATTGATGACTACCGAGGCCAGGCATTTGACAATGCTGCCGTTATGGCGGACTACCGATCAGGTTTCCAAAGACGAATCTGCGAAATCAACCCAAAAGCCACATTAGTGCCACGCACAAAGCTTTCCCCGAACCTGGTTTTGTACATGCAGCTTCCGCGACGGTTCAGTCTGTTATCTTTCTTGGTACAATGGACCGGTTATTTGCATTTGTTCTGTATATACATATCACTGGAACGTCTTGATGCAGTTGACACGTCAAAGTATCAAGCTGGCTGTAAAACCTAGATGACGTAGTTGAGCAGTCACTGTAAAAGTTGTGGTGAAGAAATACTAGGAAATCGTCACTACTCTAGAAAGAAAATATTCAGGCAAAGTTCAACTGCATCTTTAATTCTCATCTCGGTATTGTCGTTTCCATTTATTTCGTTTCTAAACCTTTGGAGATCTGTTCTCCCAAAACTCACTGATGCACATAAATAGGTTCAACCAAAAGGGTTGGATCTGCTGCGAAGTTCTGTCAACTTCACATTTCATTACTTTGGCCTCAAGTAGTGCACGAAAATGTGTCTGTAAATTTTGTTCACGGGTATTGTATGAATATAAAGGCCTGCTTTTACGGCGACGCTATGAAGATCTTTGATTGTTGGAAATTGGGTCTTTCCCGCACGAACACAGTGCAAAACCACGACGCGTTTCGATGTTATTTCATCTCATCCGGTGGAGATAGCAGGCCTCGAACCCGTGATCACTGGGATAGTAGCCGAAACCTCTACCCCTTGGGCTACCGGGGCACGGTGGGCAACCCTTGGCACAATGGTGAAGGTCCCGGTAGCCAAAGGGGTAGAGGTTTCGGCCACTATTCCAATGGTCGCGGGTTCAAGGACTGCTATCTCCACCTGATGAGATGAACCAACGTCAAAGCGCGTCGTGATTGTGTTTTCGGGCGGGCAACTCCCAATCTCCATCTGTTTCGGATACGGTCCCATTGATGCCAGAGATCAA